TAATTTCCACCTTAAACAGAATGCACACTTTATCCCTGTAATACAGCACCATTTAGTCTGAATTTGGGAACACAAAATCCCACCCTTGATCTTGTTGTGGGTCTTTGGAGGGGGAAGCACTGAAACTGGAGAAACAGGGAGGAGAGGAGGTGGGATGAAGACGGGGAATAAAGGGGGAGTGGAGGTGGGGAGTAGGAGGAGGACAAGGGGGAGAAAGGGGGGGATAAGGAGTACATGAGAAGGGGGGAGGGTTTGATAAACATTGTGTTGCTTTGTTTAGGTTAGTGGACCATAAATTCCAAGGAAAAGGAGGGAGGGGTGACTGAAAGAGGGGAATGAGGTAAAATAACCGTTAGAAGAAGCTTTGACAGGAGAAAAGAAGGGAGTCGTACTTGGATATGTTTAGAGAGAAGGGAGGCAGTATTGAAGGGAGAGGAGAAGAGAGTTTGTTTGACTGAAGTGACTGATTCTCTCGGCTCCACCAGACACGGTGGAGTCAGCATAGTATCAACATCACTGAGGAGTGTGAGCGTGTTGCACAAGTGAGTATCAGCATTAAAGAAATCAAATACCTTCACAATAAGTATCTCACGGCTACCTCCGAGTGAAAACCTCATCACCTCCTATTTTGGTGTTTTTCTTGGTTCACATATTGCTCTACAGCTGTGTGCGGAGACTTTTCACTGCACTGCCTTCTTATCACTTCCAGTGGAAAGGACACACTATTTGCACCATTCAAAAAGGATATATTCAGTGGTGCTCACTTAAAAACAAAAGTGTCTCAGGGAAACATGGTCTCAGTAGGTGTCCTGAGCATACAATCGATGGAAACCGTGGAAAAACTATTTACTAGTTCCATGAATGCATGGAAATAAATCTGAACGTGAACACTTGACTTGTGAACCACAGAAAGTTTGAAGGTACGAAGTTGCATATCAGCAGGCAGCCCTGGCCCCTCTGTCTGTTGAAGCTGTTGGTGGTGGTGCATATTTTTATTTGGATGTACGCCAGTAACATACTGTGATCATTTGTGACCTCTTCTAAATCCCAGTATGCATTTCAGTTGTAACGGCCCAGACTAGCAGGCAGTAATACTGTTTTGTAAGGTATTTATTATGGGTTAAAATTAAATTAAATACCTTCCAAGTGCCAGATACAAAATCTACTGTTGTTCTGTGCTAAAATACATTTGAGCATTAGCTGAAGACAAAGCAAGTGAGTATCCTTCCAAGGTTTCTGTACTTTTTAGTACTAAATTCCTTTTTTGTAATTATACGGACTGCATTTCATGTTGAGCTGCAGAGGTGTGACAGTAAAACAAAAGGGTAATTTTGTACTGTACTGCACTGTAAAAACTGTAACATTAGAAGATAACCACTTGATTTGCCTGCTGAGATTTGTTTTGCACAGAACGAGGACTGCCACCCATCTTTTCCATTTACATCATGTTAGTAGGAAGGGATTTTTTTTACTTCTAGTAAAGACAGCAACCCTTTGACACTTTCACTTTTATGTACATACACATAATGAGTGTTGTTTTAAGACCGACTTGAAATTATGTTCATCACTAGGTTCATTAAATGTTTCATCACTTTTATTTTAGTTAATCTGTGAGTCCTTGGGCCCAGCTTTTTGTAAAATATCTATCCCTGTAAAGTGGAAAGTTAAACATGATTGAGGGTGAGGATACTGAAATATGAAATCAAAGATTAATGATTCTCATTAATTAACTAGCTACTTATTAGCTAAATAACCTCATTTTATTATAAATATTGACAAGTATGACAACATTTTATTTTTATATTTAGAATGCTTTCTGTAATGTGTCTGTCTTATGTGTACTACATGTACATATGAACTATTAATATACTGTATGACTTCATCACAGACAGTGTTTCGGATATCAAGGCTGAGGAGGACCAACCAGAAAACTGACAGACAGATGTTCAACATTTAAATGTCTGTCTGCAAACTCCCACACATAGCCTGTCTGCTAGAGTGATTGACTGTAGGTGTGTATACGCAATTGCTGTCAGGCTGACCGTGTGTCTGCAGTCATCTAGTCATTTGGAGGGACACACACCGTCTGGCTGGCAGGCAGACAAACAGATAAAATGACAGATTAGGATGGACAGATATCATTTAGAGGAAAAAGAGAGGTCTGGAATATCTTCTAGAAGATTTAAATCTCTGCCTACACAGACAGACAGAGGACCAGCATCGTGGTGATGCAAAGATACATGGTCGGGGATGGAGATGATAATCTTAATGGACTGGTCATCTATCTGTGAGCTCCTGATTCACACACACACACACACACACAGAAGGGTTTATATATCTCAAAAGCTTTCTACTGCTTAAAGCTTACAGCTTAAAGGGCAGAAGAGAGAGTTATTAGAAAGGACTGTAGGAACAGTAAAAATAGTGTCCTTTTGATAACAGGATATGCATACTGTAGCTGTATGGCTAAAAGTGACTGTAGCAGAATGTCCTCTTGCTATGGTGTACGGCACAGAGATTGCTTATGGCTACTTTTGTGTGTGTTTGTGTTTGTGTGTGTGGGGGGGGGGGGGGGGGGGTTGCAGCTTCATGACAGATGTCTTCTTAACTGGACTAATGGAAACCACTTCAGCCACTGCCTATAGCTACACACACAGACACACACAAGAGCCCTTTGGCCATGTCTATAAAGTCCACCTGTAGGCTAACATGAAGTCGCTCAGTCGTTCCTACAAACACACACACACACACACACAAAAAGCTTTGTTGTCACATAACATAAATGTAAGGTAACGTAAAGTAAAAAAAACAAAGTGTGGTTTATGGTTAGTTTCTGATGTCACTTTAAATAAACTTTCTTATCTTCATTTGTCTCTTAAGGAGCTTTGACATTGACAAAGATAGCCCTAGCAAGGACACTAAAAGGCGCACGCCACTAAAAAGTAATACTTTATATGCCTTCACATTGTTTTTCTCCTTTTAAAATTTTGTTGTTTGGGTAATTTGTCTTTTCTAGGTAGTTGACAGTACAGGAAGGCAAGAGAGGGTGAGCCAAAAATGTGTTAATGTGGCACACGTCCCAGGATTGGTTTGAATGCCGGGTTAAACTTTAACCAAGTGAGCCACCAGAATTCCCCAGCACTCGTGTATTTTTGTCTGAGCGGTTTGGCTTGACCCCAGTATCATCAAACATTTGCTAAACATGCGGGACAATGGCAGGTTTTGGTTAGAGGGACAACAGGAAAGCTAGAGGCTGAAACTTGGATCAGCTACAGGATGAGCTTTTCGCTTTCACAATAGTATGCTAATATTATAGTATTAATAGCCAATTCGTGCTAATAATAGCAGTTTGTGAGTGGAAAATAAAAACTTGACTGGACATGGAGGACATTAATGTACCATCAAAGCAGATGTTCTGCTTTTGAGTCGTGAATTATTCACAATAGAACAAGAAATTTGCAGGGCTGGCTTTCAAAGGGGTTTAAGTTTGAGTTTGTCCCTGTAAACTAGAAATGAAGGGAGATATGTAGCCAATCCACAGCCAATCAATTAAATCAGGAATTTACAGGAAGATTAAGACTTCCTGGAAGACTAAATTGGAACCTATTATTTAAAACACTACACTTTTATTAATTTCTACCTCATCTACAAACTATCAATTAAGAACTCACAGAGCAAGAAAGGTTGCAAACACACCCTGTCTCAGGGTGTAATCTGCTGAGATTAGTGAGAGATCGTGTAGAACCTGCCAAAACCATTTTCAAGAACCTGTCCTGCTTAATAGGAACTGACAGTATTTCTGCCTCGCTGGGCTTTCATTAGGTCTCTATTATTATTGTATTAAATAATTTGAGCATGGCTCTCCAAATTCTATGTTTGACTCCCACTCACACAGTTTCAGTCTCAGTTTTTAAGGATTAACCAGAATGTGACCTTGTGTAAAATGAACTGAGGGTTTTTTGTCTTTGATTGTTGTGAATAAAAATATAAACATCCTATTTGCTTTGATTACCTCACAGCAAAGCCTTGTGGGATACCAAACTCCACAGTTACACATGATCTCTCTCTGTGGCGTGAAGTGTCTGCAGTGTATTTCACTAATCGTTGAATTACTAGTCATTTTCACAATAACAAACAACTCCCTCATTAACAACCATCCCGTGTGAGTGTGTGTGTGAATGTGTGTGTGTGAGAACGGGACAAAGACTGAGGGGGAAGCAAAGCTAGAGGATGTGTGTGAAACAGAGTGAGAGGATGTGTGGTTGCTAAAGTGGACAGAAGAGAAGAAGAGGAGAAGAAATAGACATGAGACAAAGAGGCGTGTTCGGCTGCTGCAGGAACAAAGTTTCTCAGAGCTCCCTTATTAAAGAACAGTCTCAACTAAATAAACAACACCTGGGAACTTCAAACCTACCGACAGCTGTCTAACTACACAAAGACAGACAGAGACAAGGAGAGGAGACACACAGACAAATGACAAATAGATTAACTGACAGCCAGGTTGGCAGAGACACAAAGACAACAGCAAACCAGTGCAAGAGCACTTCAAATAATTCATCAATTCAATTCAAGTTTATCATTTTAGACATGATTTCCACCAAAATAGCAGCAGACATGACCTGAAAGTTATATGAAGGACTGAAACTATTTTGACACTGAATCAAATAGTTAATTGTAAGTATCACTGCATACTGTACCTTAATACCAGCTAAATAAGGTGTTCCATATTCCAAGATGTTATGCTCGTGTGCAAAGGTGAAATTGCAAAAACAACCATAAATGAGCGTCCGCATGGGATGGTTAGTAAAGACACACCAAAAAAAAGACGGAATGACCAAACTAACAATTAGATCACAAAAACGGACTTCGACACATTGAAAAGGGAACTTAAACAGTGACATTTAAAGGTGAGGACTATGTACAAGTGGTGATGATACTACAACAACGATGATGACTATGACAGATGAAGTTCAGCTCTTGGCTGGTCACTCGTAACTCACCCTTCTCAGAGCGCCCCATGTGAGCTGGGTCCAACAGAAGCAAAGCAGAGAATAATAAGACAGAATTAGATTGGAGAGCATGCACAGGCGTACAATCACATATATGCAAGAGAGAAGCTGTGTGTTTCAAGATTCAGCAGACATCTATTGATCCACAAAGGACCATATCCTCTCAAGTGCAGGGTGGCAACTAGCAATTATTTTCTTTATTAATCGATTCATTGTTTGGTTTATAAAATGTCAGAAACATGTGGAAAACAGACATCACAATTTGCTATAGCCCTAAGTGTTATTTTTTAATTCTCAACAGACCAGGTTCAAATGCTGACAGAGCTCATTGACAGTGAAGACAACATTAAAGAAGAAAAATGCAGACGTTACCATCAAAACCTATGTCATAGTATGGCTGAGCTCCCATTAACCTTTTACGTCAAATCCAGCTTCAGTGTACACATTACTGATAACTGACACACAATGCACACAAATAAGGATTAAAAAAGTAGTGAGGAGAATCTGTTGACTTGCACATATTTTGCCAACAGATGCCCAACCTTAACCTTTATCCTCTGCTTCACCTAACCCTCATGTTAACCCTAAAAATAATCAATTTCCCAAGACTGTCATCACCTGCCACCACTTTTCCCAGTCCCTCTCTCGTTTACACACACACAGACAAAGACCCACCAGCCATGACTCTATTTTATATATATGTATGTATGTATGTATGTATGTATGTATGTGTGTGTGTGTGTGTGTGTATTTATCACCACACACTACACTAAACAACTGGTACTGAGGGGGCTCACATCTGTGTCTGTGTGAGGGAAAGAGAGAGAGTGTCTATGTGCAATGTAATTAATCAGCTGAGAGTGTTGATTACTTAATCTGTCATTAGCCAATGATGTGTGTAAGTGCGTGTGTGTATGTGTATGAGTGCAGTAGTGTGTTTCAAGGCCCCCTTGTACCGACAGCTGTGACCAGAGCCAAACAGGGCAGAGCAGAGATTGATGATACTGGACTAATACCATCATTCATCAGGGATGTGATATTTCAGGGATTTGGGATTTGTTTTGCACGTGCAGCCTCCCTTCATTTCCAATGGGACTTTAACACTTTCTTGGTTCACTTCCTGCCGCATGACTGATGATTCACGCCCATCACGTACCAGTCTCTAAAGGTTAATCCTGACCATAACATTAGGTTATGTTGTTGTCATAAATTTTCAATTTGTGCATTGAATGCCTGAGTGGAAAACACCAAAAACTCACAAAGAAAAGTTTAAATACTGTGTATCAGCTTGTCTAAGGTGAAAGAGTTACAGTATCAAAAAGAAGAAGTCTGATGGAAACTGATTTTTCACTTTCTTTATGATGATGATGATGCAGTACCTGCTTGTGCTTAAGACAAGGCATCCATGTCATGCAGCCACTCACAGTTACCAGCCTGAAGCCCCAAATAATTACGAATAGGTGTTGGATATACATGAGCCCAACTTCCCCAGTTCGAGTTCATTGTAAAACGATAAATTTTTGGACCATTGGCTGGACAAAACAAGCAATTTCAAGATGTCACCTTGGGCTTCACCTCTACGGTTGCAGCTAACGATCATTTGCATTATCGATAAATGTGCTGATTATATTCTCTATTAATTGCTTAATGCACAAAATGTTGGGGACAAAACAAGCCCATCGGGATTCTCAGAGCCCATTCAGTCTGTTTACAATGATGCAAAACAGAAACAAAACAGGATTGTTTTGTTTCCGCTGTCATCATTACAGCGGAAGAGCTGGTAATAGTGAATGTTTGGCATTTTTGTAATTTACTGATACAATTGATCACACATCAAAATTATTTCTTTTAAGCGTCTATCATTTGAGGTCTAGGCTAAATCATTAATCAAGAAAATTATCAGCAGGTAAACAATATTGAAAATAATAGTGAATCTCAGGAGGGAAGCAGCAATAACATACCATGATGTCTTAGTGAAACCTTTTCTGGTCATGGGCAGTACTGTCACAGTACATAGATTTGTTTCACAGCTCGGTGTGTGGAAACCTGAATCACAACCTCCGTCAATCATGTCGTTGTTCTTTTAACTCTCTGATAACAGCAAGAGGTAAAAAGGTTGCACCGTCGCTGTGTGTCGCTAATCCATTTTTCAACACAAACCCTCAAATTCATTCATATACACACACGCACACAGTCTAATGAGGGATTAGCTAATGAATTCTCTTGACAGATTAATCACATTTTACACACGCGCTTGTGTGCGAGCAGACTTCATCCCCAAACGACTGAAGAAATGAGCCAGTAATTTCAAAGAGATGTGTTTTTGTTTTTAAATCTATCACTAAATTGAAATCCGTAGAAACAGATTGGCTCTGAGCAAAGTGGTGTTTGATTTGAAGAGAAGACGTTAAGATGGATCTGAAGGACAGCGGACGGAAGCGTTACTTTTAACAAGAAAATAAATAAAACGGCGTTTGATTTGGCGCCATCTTACATGGCATGAGTAGAATGGGGAGGCATTTTCACAGGAATCTAAACGAGAAGCAAACATTTCACATGCTCATCTTTGTACCACTGTACTCCAGAGGGCTTCAAAGCATCGGCCTCCCTCTTTCTCTTTAAGTGACAGCAACACACATCAGTTGACACACACAGTTGCTCGCGCACACACAGGACACGATGAGAAACACACACACACACTCCCTCCTGCCGTTTTCACTGTCTCTTGAGTGGAGGAGATGCCCACGGCCAAAAACCAATGGTTGCATTTCTTGTTTTTTCCCCCCTCCTCCCCTCCTCTTTCTCACTATGACTCTCTTTCTTTCGCCTCGTCTTCACAATTTTATTTCATCTTGCAAATGGAGCTGAAAAGTAATTATAATTAAACCAACTTGGTTCAAATGTTCAAAATACTGAAATAATTTACAATTATAATTAAACCAGCTCAGATGTGGTGTTCAGTACCAGCGGCAGCCTTCTAATTCGTCTGGAGACACTAATGGAAAACAATTATTTCACTTCATTAAGATTAAAGACGCCTGGAATCTGTGTCACCACTCGATCAGAGAGGAGACGGATTTAGAAAGTTGTCAAATTAACATAAACTCAGTTACTGATTTCGTAAAAGCAGCGAGACGCGCATCCTTGTTCACATTTATTACCCTGACTTTGTGATAGTGATGGGCCAAAACAAAACAGCACGATAAGGCGAGACAAGAGGGAGACAGATTTATATAAATGCCATAATTTATAGTTTGACTTTCTAAATGGGGAAACTAGAAGATAAATTAGGAAACAAGACAGATTTAGAGAAAAGACATCTTCACACAATTTTCAAAGTGACTTTGTTCAAATATGACAGATACAATGAAATCCTCGCCACTGCTTTTTCTCGTCCTTGTCTGTGATTCCAGTGTGCGCCGGCTACTGCACCACAACCCACATCTCTCCCGTGACTGTCTGTGATTTCTGTCATTATTGACTCCTGATCTAACAATCGCCACTTTTTCTCAGCAACAGTTCAGATTGGCAGTATTAATTATTATCTTTCTATTAACCCTTTCGGCCTCACTGGTTAAACATTTAAGTGATCTAATAACAGTGAGTGACAGAAACACCTGTGCTGTATCTGTAAAATCTAGCATGCCCTGCACTCTCTGCACCAAATGTTACTGTTGTCTTTTTAAACTCTGAAATTTTTCATGATTGGGATTCACAGTGTGTAAAAAAAGGGCATAACAATTACTTATTTATCTCTAGAAATGGTGTAATTTCATTGCAACTAAACAACCAATTCCCTGCATCTGATTTACTAAAATCACTGTTACTATTGCTTTTATGTAAAAAAAATATATATATCTACTTTAGTTTTTAACCCCCTTTCCCCACTAATGATATCCCACCTCCTGCTCTCTGTGAAGCAGCATCTACTAGTATTTACTTGCAAATTAACAGCACTCAGATTCCCAAAGAGGCCTCAAAGAAATTCCACACATTTGTTACCCAGAGGGCCAAATGGCCACAAGGGAGGGGAGAGGGTGGGTAGTTATGGGATAGGGGTGGGGTGGCAATAAAACGTTCCCAGATGAAGGGGTAATTAATGTGTAATTTCTATGCAAATCATTAACAGGCCTGAGGGAACACTGGGGCAGAAAACGACGTTTTTATACTATTTCTAGCACTTAAATGGAGCGTGGTGTGTCCTTTATTAGAGCCTTATAGGGGTTTTGGTATGAGTTTGGAGGTCAGCTTTCTACCAGCTGTGTGAGTCTCTCTCTCTCTCCCTCTCTGTGTTGGAGTTCAGAGAAGACCAACTGCTGAATGCGGAAATAAAACGTACGGCAGCCACGCAGGCAGCGACACAGGTAGAGAGAGAGAGAGAGAGAGAGAGTTTTCCTGCGAGGAGACCGAGAGCTGCGGAACACAGCCTGCTTGAGGACTTTGTTTTCTCTCCGCGTCCGATTAGTCCTGCACCGGCAACACGGCTACAGCTATCACCTCCCTTCTCGAGTTCATTTAGGGGACTTTTTACATTCGCATCCTTCTCGGAATGCATTCGTGTTTCCGCAGGACGAAACGAGAGCAAATGCACACTTTGCGATTCTAGTTTACAACAGCCTTAAGTCCAGGAGAAAGGGGCTCCATGCACCCCCAGACACACGAGACGGAGTTTAATGTCACGGCCGTTTCATTACTAAACAATGGTCATGCACACTGTTGCATAGACTAGTTCAATTGTGACTATTTTGAGTTAAGGTTTCATCCTCTCCGCCTTGTAGAGTTTGTCAATAAAATCACATCTAACGTCATAAGTAATCACATATGAAACCGGGATCCAAGAAAATGTATTTCCTTACTAAATACGTTAGATCATACAGCGCAAGAACAACATTCACTTCATCGGCGTACAGGCTATATTTCCAACCATTAGGTTTTACTGTAGCGCTGGTAAAGTTGGAACAGAGGAGGATCTTTGGTTTGCAAAGAGCGAAAAGCTCACGGCGCTCGCGATCCGGACCGACAGTGGCCCCATACAAAATAGCAATAGTCTTTAAAGACTTAAAATACATCACAGATAATAGAAAATGACACCTTTTTAAATAACAGTAGTATATCATGTAAGTTAAAGTAGAATAGGAGTCAGAAAGAATCGTTAATAAGGCTTTCACCTCTGAGAAGAGAACCACTGGGGGGAAACACCATAAAGTTCATGATTACTGTAATGACCACACATAAGTCATCGTTGTTGCACTATAGTTATTCGGAGGTGATCTCCGTGCACACAGCAACTTTCTCTCACTCCATGCGCTGTTCGCGAGCCTGCACTGCTGAGCGGTGAACGACGCTCCCCTCACACACACACACACACACACACACAAGCTCTACGGTCTTAACATATACGCTTCCAACACATGCTGTGAACAGGTAACTCCGTGCAAAAGCTGTAAAAGGCTGGTCAGTGTAGCCTGTTTTTCTCATTACTGCAAGTAAATGCAGTTGTTTTGTGATTTTTGGTCCTTAAATCAGATCGTTTTATTAAAAAAAATCATTCCGGAGTCCCGAGACAGCCTTAACAGAATGAATGCAACTCAGTTTAAACGTTTAAGATACGAGTTCACAATCCTATTGTTAGATCAGCGTTAGTCATTTGTGCAAGTCAGTGCATCCCAACAAGAGATCTCACACAGGCTTTAAATACTACGACTTGCATGCAACGTTTAGAAACATTTTACATTTTAGCAGTGACAAAAGTACATTCACTCCATGAAACCTGCACGTCTCCGATCCGAGGACATCTAAAAACAGGCCCAAAGCGATAAAAAAAAGGCACGTCGTACAGTTTAAACACGGAGGCTAACTTTTCTTCTTCACCTTAAACACACCTGTCCGATATTCATACGCTTACACGGATGGAGAAAACGAAATCGTCCAGACTTTCCATTAAAGACACGGAAAACACACTTAACTGTCTGTCTTTCCTCGCTTCGTCCTTACCTGTCGGTATTTGGCCGGAGACGTTCCCAACTGTCGAAAAGAGAAACAGGAGTCCCAGGAATGCAGAGAAAAGTGTATCCATGTTTTCAAACGTGGCCGTGTGTTGAGTCCGTAACAGTTTTCCTCTCCGGAAAGTTTTTTCCTGCGAGTTTCTCCGTCCTCTCCTCTGTCTTCGCTCTTCTTTATTTCTTTCTTTAGTTGGTTTTTATTCCTCCTGTTGTGGATTCAGTCGCCCCATTCTCTCCTTCCTCCGGTTTCTCTCTTTTCGCTTCCTACGGGGCTCTGCGGACACCACACTTTGTTTCACACAGAGCGAGGGAGCGCGCACGCGAGAGAGAGCGAGAGAGAGGGAGGGAGGTAGAGCGAGCGCAGCAGAGAAAGTGCGTGACGTCACGAGGCAGGAGTTGATTAAAAACACAAATTAAAAGAAACAATGTCACTAAACTTTAATTTCTTGATGATGCGTTTAGTTTCACTTTATGTTTATTTTCCATAAGTCATTGTTTAAAACAAACTGTGATCACCACCAGCACTCAAATGTTCAGTAAAGCATTTAAATTATTTGAATTATTTAATTATTTATTTGAAAAACAGAAAGTAATGTATGTTGTTGCTCCTTCAAAATGAGCCTCCTCTTATGAATTTTAAAATGTTTTTCTCCTCTTGTTCTCACCTAATTGATAAACTATACCTCTTATTTTCATGCAAACTCTGTGGTGGAACATATCTAAGAACATTTACTGTAGACTATTTTAATTTTGAGGTACTTGTACTTAACTTGTGTATTTCCATTTTATGACCCCTATAGTTACCAGTTGCTTTTCAAATTACGATTTTACATATTATCAGCTTATGTATAATGTTTGTTTGTTAGGCTATATATTATTCTACAAGATACCTTGACAAACTATAACATTCAAATGTTAATACATCAATAATAATAATCTAATAATTAAATGTATACAGTAATATAACATTCAGAAAGTTGCCATTGTACATAATGAGTCTTTTTCTTTTACTTTTAAGTTTTTCTGATAATACATCGTATTAAAGTTTGAATGCAGGTCTTTCACTTGTAGTAGAGTATCTTTACATTGTTCTATTGCTACTTTTACTTAAATAAAGGATCTGAATACTGTACTTCTTCAATCAATACTCTGTTTGCAACAATTAGTTTTTCTTTCATTATATAGTATATAGTGTGGGTTGTACAGTGTAAATAGTGTACCCCCCACCACACACACACACACACACACACACACACACACACACACACACACACTCTCAGCAATCATTTTTGTTAAGTTAATATAGAAACTTCTATATTTTTTAACTAATAAATTAGTCACATAGTCAATAAAATGTCAAAAATGCTGACAAAACTAACTTAGAGATACCACAGACCAAGGTACCATCTACACATTGTTTATTTTGTTTAATCAGCTGTCCAAAGAAAAACAAAATAACTTACCTTCTGAATGTACAAAGAATTATTACACAAATCTGCAGCTGCAGATCGTATACAGAGCTTTTAGGCGAGTTGCAGCTCATTGTTTGGCAGTCCGGGCCTGTAAATGTGTTGTTTTGCTTCACTGTCACTGCTCTCATATCACAGCAGACAGATCTTTTCAGCAAAAAAGCTCTAAAAACAAACGGCAGACAGACACAGCTAGCGACTAGCCAGCAACTGTCTGCTAAAAAGTCTCCATGTCAGCTTAAAAGGTGAAGATATGTCAAAGTAGAGTTCACAACTTGTTTCAACTGGACCTATAGTGGCCAAGAAAACCAGGTTAATTAGTTATTGTACGTTTAAATGCAGAAAAGCATTCATGCCAATAAACACGGGCAGCTCCAGTTGGCCCCCTGACGGCAGTTGAAAAACGGCTCTGACACAAAAATATGTATAATTCCTGGCACAGTCCAGGACACCTGTCCTGGCCCCCATAACCATTCAGCCAACCCCTCCCCCAAAGGCACCCCTGCTAATAAAGGATGTAGAATAGAATAGAATGGAAAAGAAAATAATAGAAACAACCCATATCCTTTGTAGGTGAGACACTAATAGAAACTCACACTGGTACACAGCGATTTCAAGTTAAAAGGCTATCTTTTGTCATGTAATAATAATGTTTGTGTTCATGTAAGTGTCTGTAAATTGAACTCATTTCACAGCATGGAAAGATTAAACAGACCTACTAGAGTTCTGCAGGACAAAAATCACACTCTGTCAAAGACATAAATCAGAGCACCGAGGCTTGGATCTGCAACGTCATCAAGATGTACAGCCAAGAGGTGCTTCTTTTTGATTTAAAGGAGACCTTGTGGGCAGCTGGTGGACTGTGAACATAACTGTATTTTTTATTTGAGCTAAAATCCTTCCTGGCAAAAAGTGATTTAAATTACTTGAGCATTTGGTTGCAGGATGACCTTTATATCCCTGGTTTCAGACCATAAAATGCATCACCAGAAAAAACTGCATATAGTACAGCCAACACATTTGTGATTCATTTTCTGTTTATACAATTAGCTTATTACACAGTACCTAACCTGCTAGGGTTAGCATCAGTATCTGTAAGCTCCTAGTGGAAATTAAAAACAAATATTATTTGCCTACATCGTCCCGCCCTGGTGGGGCTAGATGACATCATGACAGGCCTGCCAAAAAGACAAAATACATCTTTTGATTTTTGGTACACTGCTGAGCTAAAAGTATGTGTGGATGGAAATGTACAAGCACGGAACCATTGTGTATCCTTTTAACGTGTTTTGTCTCTCTCAGTGCCACCTCTCCCACATACAAGGTGTGAACAATCTCTTCTCCCCTGTTGCTGTCTTTGGGAGACAGGGATATTCATTTAGGCAAACTTTGGTCTCTGCAGAGACAATACATTCATTTCCAGACTTTCACAGGTTTACGGGATTGTCGGTGTGCTGGTAATTATAGGGGTTTTCTTTCAGTCCAAACAGTAATTGTGACTGTCTAGCCTGGAATTGGAAGTGTCCTGCAAATCAACCTGGGTGTCCTGTCACCTAATATCACTCCGATGCTACTACTCTGCTTTAAAATGGGAATTTTCTATTGTTATTGTTAGTGCTGGTACCCTGCCATTATAGACAGTAGTGTATCCTCACTGTTGTGTTTGCTGAAGTTGCAGGTTCCAGGTTGTTATTTTCTTGTACACACTGCTGTCGTGCCATACTTTTGTATGCATTGATGCAGGCAGGCTTTACATTTGCAGGTTTGTGCACAGTGAGTTGAAATTGTTTAAGCATATCTGTATTTTCAACTCGGAAATGATTTTGCATGGGTACTTACAGTGGATGCAACTCTATTTGCAGTCATGGTCGTACAAATATCAGTGTGTTCATTAGATCAATGCAACATTCAAGTGGATTTTATTACTTAGATTTTCTTGTGAAAATATTAAAAACATTTTCTCTACTTCTTGTAATTTTTCCCAGTAACCTTTGTACCAAACATTGTCTTTCATAGTGTGAATTCTGGTTTGCAGTGATTTGAAGATATTTGTATCCCTCCTACAATTGTTTTTTTTTTTTTTTTTGCTCTCACGTCAAACAAAACTATCATGTTGCAACTCTTATCTGCCTTCACGTGGCAAAAGCCAGCTGGGAAAAACATGGCAGGTAGTCATGTTAGTCCACGTGGAAAAATCTTTGTGCTGGAAATGTATAGCAAGCATAAATAGATTTTTTATTCAGCTGTTTGACCCTTATGCAGGTACATTGTTCCTGTGCAGGCAATTTTCAGCAGTCTAACCCCTAACCAGTAGCTCAATCCAATTTTGAGACCAAATGTGCCATCCAGTGTCTGGTCTATGATGGATTGCAGAGGAGGCTCCTGTGTTTTTAGACCAATCCTCTAAATATTGGACGATTTTACAAGACTTCATATTACGTTCAGTGAAATTTTTTTTAAATGTCCAATGCCAATGTTTAAAGCCACACTAGCATGGCTCTAGGGAAGGCAATGTCAATCTGTTGGTCCAGACTGAAATAACTTCTACTGGATGGACTACCATCAGCTTTTTTACCTTCAGACATTCATGGAGATTCATTCAGACCATGAATCCTAACGACTTTTAGACGATCCCTTGACTCTTCATCTAGCACCAGCACGTCAAGAGTTTTCACTTATCCAGTGAAATATCTCAACATCTACATACCTGATGACTGCTACACAATGTCTACAGACATTTATGATTCCCAGAAGATGTACGACAGTGACTTTGTAACCCGCCTGACTCTTCCTCTAGTGCCACCATGAGATTTACATTTGGGATTTTGATAAGAATACACTTATTGGATGGATTGCCAGGACATTTGGTTCACATATTCATATCCTTCTGAATTGTAATCATGTTGGGCATGTTTTCATCAAGCACCATCATCAGGTAAAAACTATTGACATCCCTAACATCCTAATCATCCTCAGCTGGACAAAACTTTGTACAGGAAATCTAAAGTTGACTTAAAACAGACACACTTATCTAAATACACTGAGTTTATGATACAGGATCAGCGGATTTAAAGAGGTTGTATAATGCTCATTTTCAGGTTCAAAATCTTAATTAGGGGTTGTACCAGAACAGGTTTACATGGTTTAATTTTCAAAAAAACACCACATTTTTCTCATATTGCACATTGCTGCAGCTCCTCTTGTCAGCCTAGCCTATGTGTTGCACACTCCGCTCTTGAGCTACAGAGTGATGCATCTTGTACAAAATCTTTGTTTGGAGTTGCACATGCGCAGTTCCCAGCTAAGGACTACTAGCCAATCAGAAGCAGAGAAGGGCGGGTCGTAAGAAATAAGGTAGTGTGATCCAAATCAAAGCCGCTTCAGACTGCAACCATAACCTAGCAGATGGTATAAGTTACTCACAAGTCCACAACCACACAACATCATTGTTCCACATCTTACCATAAACCACTACAAAAATCATCATGTTTCAACTCAATTTTACATAAAAATTGGCCAAACAATTTGAACGTTTGCTCAGTAGCTTTCACATCGGGTGTAACATTAGCATTATAGCTATAACTGGTGATACGAAAAAAAGTACCTGGAAGCAGATACAGGTACAACATTTCTACAATGGAAAACCAAACAAAGGGGAGTCGAGCCAAAGGGCCTCCGCTCAGACTAGCTTGGTTTGAGGGCGTGCCTGACCCCGCTAGCCGCTTGGCAAGTTTTATGACGCGTTTTCATTGTGATGTCACAAGTCAAGGAAGTGAAGGGCTGGACTACAAACGAGCTGTTTTCAAGTGGTTCAGAGCAGAGTTTTCTGTGGGAGATGGGAACTC